ATGCATGTATACTTTGTCTTCTGGAAGTGGACACACAAACCTAATATGAACTTGTTAAATATTCACAATTTAGTTAATCTACTTCCAAAGGAGAGGAAAACTTCATTACTTGGTGATGTTAGAATGTTTCCCAATGTTCTTAACAGGAATATTTGTAACTTTTCCAGGGCAAAAGGTCTGGATTTCATTAGATCATCAAAGGAGTTTATAAGCACAGCAGGTTGAGATTCACGCTTAAAGGGGAAATTCTAGTACTAGGGAAGAGTGTTAGAGAATGAGACGAGTTTGATTCCTGCAGAGCAAGCCCTAGTTATTACCCTGACAAATGAAAAGTAGAACTATGTGATGAAAAACTAAAGAACACATTCCCCCAGAATTTTATGAATAATTTCAATATTACTTTATTGACTTACTGTACCATCATTATCACTACCATTATCAAAAATATTGATTAAAACACATACGTGCATTATAAATTTTCACTTGACAGTGCCTGCCTACAAGATCTTCCAAGTTCTATTCATTTTCAAATATTCTGTGGCATTGGAACAGAAATTCCAGTATTTGATTCTAAATGAAAGCTTCTAAGCTACTTCTCAAGCCCAAACGAAAATCTTTTTTTTCAGATTATGTGTTCCAGTTTTTTTGAAAATTATGTTACAAAAGGTTATGATCATAAAAGCTAAATAACCCAATTTAAAAATGGAAAATGGATCTGAATAAAGATTTCTCCAAGGAAAATACACAAATGGCCAATAAGCACATAGAAAGATGCTCAACATCACTAGCCATCAGGAAAATACAAATCGAAACCACAACTAGACACCACTTCACACCCACTAGGATGGCTATAAACAAAACAATGGAAAATAACAGATGTTGGCAAGTATATTAAGAAATTGGAACTCTCATGCATTGCTGGTGGGAATGTAAAATACCGTAGAAAATAGTTTGGCAGTTCATCAAAAGGTTAAACATAGAGTTACCATATGACCCAGCAGTTGCATTTCTACATATATGCCCAAGAGAAATGAAAACATATGTCCACACAAAAACTCATACATAAATATTCATAGCAGCATTATTTAAAATAGCCAAAAGGCAGAAGTAACCCAACGTCCATCAACTGATGAATGGATAAATTGTGGTATAGCTGTAAAATGGAATATTATTCAGCCAAAAAAGAATGAAGCACTGATACTTCATTCAACACGAAACCTTGAAAACATTATGTTAAGTGAAAGAAACTAGTCACAAAAGACCACGCATTGTATGATTCCACCTATATAAAATATCCAGAAAAGGCAAATCTATAGAGACAGAAAGTAGATTAGTAGTTGCTTAGAACTGAGAGATCGGGAGGGAATGGGGAATGACAGTTAATGGATATGGGGTTCACTTTGGGGGTGGTGAGAATGTTCTAAATTGATTACAGTGATGGTAGCACACCTCTGTGAATCTACCAAAAATCATTGAATTACATACTTTAAAAGGGTGAACGTTATGGTTTGTGAATCATATCTCAATAAAGCTGTTAAATTTTTTTATAAAGCTTATGATCTTAATATTTGGGACACTGATTTACTGTGAGATTTTGTTAGGGTTTTCCACTTTGATTTACAATATTTGCCTCATGCTTACCCTACCATAGCTATTTGGAGTGGGCTTTCAGCTACTGGCAAACTGCACTGTTCCTGACTCTAAAGTTAGCTTTTGGTCAACATAGCTTTGAGAAAGAATCTGCTGCTCTATTTTTTTTTTTTTTTTCGGTACGTGGGCCTCTCACTGTTGTGGCCTCTCCTGTTGCGGAGCACAGGCTCCGGACGCGCAGGCTCAGCGGACATGGCTCACAGGCCCAGCCGCTCCACAGCATGTGGGATCTTCCCGGACCAGGGCACGAACCCACGTCCCCTGCATCGGCAGGCGGACTCTCAACCACTGCACCACCAGGGAAGCCCTGCTGCTCTATTCTTGATGGTGGCTGTGCCAGGCACTTCTGTCTCTACCAGCCTGCCACCTCTACTCTGTGTCCCATAGGAAGGACTTCACTATTTCTGCCTAGAGTCTTGGTGAATCTGGAGTTTCTCTGTACCTCTAGAAAAAGGAGCACTGGAATCCAGGGGGTGATTTTCCTCTGTAAATAGACCAGTGAGCTGGCTGGGCCCTGCTTCTTGTCTTCATCTGCCAGCTCCATATTCTAGGGGTTGGGTCTGGTACCTTCACTTCCTGCCTCAGCACAAATGGACTCCTAGTGTAAACCAGTGGATCTGAGATTACTCTATATTTCTAAGGTAAAGCGCTTGGCCCACTCTCCATCTCTATTTTCTACATCATATACTCCGGGATCTTGATGCCTACTTGAACTTAACCAAACTTGCTGTCTCTACTATTAGGATGTGGCTTCTGCCTTTATCGTCCTAATCTCAGTCACCAAGAAGCTGCCAATTTTGCCATTTTTCTACCAACCCCTTCCCTCTACAACTTGTTATTTCATATTTGTCTGACCTCTCCTTAGGTAAAGGGTCACAATGCTTCCATAAATAAGTATACCAGGTGAGAATAACAGCAAAATGATGAACTCACCCCCATCCAAAGAGGGTCTCCTATCATATCCCTGCTGATTGTTGCTGTATCAAAATCAGACCAGTGCTGCCAGATCTGCAAATGTGCCAAGGACATAAAAATTCGAATTTTAAAGTAAAATGTCCTAGTCTATAAAATGGGGCTCAATTTTTTAAGATTAATGAAAAAAAACACTCTGAAGACTAAATAAAACTTATCTGTAGGCCAAATTTAATCAAGGACCACCACTGCCATACATCTACTTGGGATTTGCCCAACCAATTACCCATTCTCCCAGCAGCAGTCTGCATTCTGCCATAGTGAGCTCACACCAACAGTTCTGACATAATGACACATAAAGGCCAAAAGAAAAATACTGACCAAATATGAATGCTAACTGTATAAACACACAAGATACAGTGTTATTTTGGTGTCTCAGGTGGAATCCTATGAAGTATACATGTGGAACCATCAGAAGTCAGTGTGGTCATTTCCTAAGGAAGACACTCTCCGATGATCATATCTGAGTTCCACTTTTTATTGTTTGAAATGGTCTTTGATACTGGTGAGGTGAACCATTAAAGAAGTTATCTAAAGAAATCCAAATCAACACAAAATAATTATACCTGAAAGATCTAGGTAATCTCTATTTTTTTCAAGGCATCATTTTATTCTACTAGTTTAAATAAAATCCCTCTAATTTCATTCTCCTTCTAACCAAACAAAAACTGATTTCTAAATTGATCCCTCATGGCAGACCCAGGTCATTTATGTAAAATGCAATGTTAATCATTGTGACGATATAGAATTCCTGCTAAAGTAGGTGAATTTTTTTCTAAGTAAAAGGCATTGTTCAAAGGTAGTGATATGGCCATTAGGACTTTTTCTCCTTCCAAAAGGAAAAAAAAAATCAAATGATGAGTAGCTTGACATACAGATTTGCATACTTCAAACATCTGTCCACCCTAGATATGTTAATGAATGTTCGGAGTGATTAAACTTGAATTTGTAGTCTGTGGAAAGAAAGGTAATCCTAGGCAGGTATCCCCTAGAATAGATAATATATAAAGAATTAACAAACTAATGCACCATTGTGAAGCAATTATACTCCAATAAAGATGGCATGTACATATATACACTACCAAATGTAAAACAGATAGCTAGTGGGAAGCAGCCACATAGCACAGGGAGATCAGCTCGGTGCTTTGTGACTGCCTAGAGCGGTGGGATAGGGAAGGTAGGAGGGAGACACAAGAGGGAAGAGATATGGGGACATATGTATATGTATAACTGATTCACTTTGTTATAAAGCAGAAACTAACACACCATTGTAAAGCAATTATACTCCAATAAAGATGTTAAAAAAATAATAAAATAATTAATTTTTAAAAAAAGAATTAACATTACGTATTTATATATGTTATACATATTTATACACATATATTTGTGTATATGTACAGACACACTTTAAAGCAGCTATAAATTATAGTAAAACTCTGCTGGTGAATGCTTCCTTGGCATACCCATATTTTATTTATTATCATTTCTCTCCTCACAAGGCTTATAGTTTTCCCCATATTTTGCTAATCAAATTAGCATTTATCATGAAATACTATTTCATGAATTTCTTTCTTAAAGAAAAACAATGAGAGTAAATTTAACCTAGGCCAAAATAAATAAACCCATCCTCAGAAAAAACAAAAGTTCAAATGTACCTCAAAGATCAACTAGAATTTATTTATGTAACCCTGGGCAAGCTACTTGAACCTCTGTGAGTCTCTGCTCATCTGGAAAACAGGAGTGTGAGTCAAAACAACTGCTAAGATTTATTCTAAATCTAACACTAGATGATTGGATTTTCCATTAAACCCCTAAAGTTTCACTAAGATTCTGTCTGCATCTCTGCTACTTCATACAATAAAAAGTGTTATATTGTATAAGGAAAAACACCATGCTGAATGATAATCCACAGAGCAGCTAGCCACCACAGATATGTTAAAGTGTAGAAACAGACACACTCCTCCCCAATAAACACACACACACACACACTCAACATTATTATAGGGCCCATGTTGCTCAAACTTAAGCCAGTTGAGTTTCATGTAGAATTTGAGTACCACCTAAATTTTTATTCACTCAAAAGTGGAATTTAAGTTATCTCTTTTTTTTAAATCAGACACACCCTAAGCAATCATGAGCTTGATTGTGTTAGCTTTATGCATTTTTTCCTAATAAAATTTAAAATAAATTCAGTCAATAAAATAAAACAAAATAAAGTAACATAAAATAAAATTCCTCCAAGTACCATCTAGAATTGGGTTATATACCTTCAGTGAAAAACATACTAAACTTTGGAAAATACCAGAGTAGCTTATAAAAAGAAAGATATACACACTGGTCTAGAATATAAGATTTTGTGTTAAAGGAATCTATTATCGTAATATTTCCACTGCATTTATTAGGATAGAAAATCATCAACTGCTACATCCATTACCTTTCATTAGTTATAGAATCTGATTCCATATATTATTTTAAAAAGGGAACAACAAGGCCACTGGTAAATGGGTAGAGTTTTCGTTTTACATATGAATTGGCATAAGTCCCACTCTCATCATGCCAGGTGTTGATGCCAAATCTTTTGGAACCATTTAGATCTGTGAACTGAGAACGGCATTTTCTGTAGACAACTGAATAATCATCATCTTGACAAGGATAACCCTATGCGGGGAGGGAGAAAGATAATATTAAATGACTAAAATATGTAAAAAGGAGTGATTTCCAAAAGTTGATCTTTAATGTGTTAGTTATATTATGATCACAGGTTAATTTTCAAAAAATTGATTAATTTAATCTCTCAAATTACTAACACCTCTTGTATTTGGCTATTGCATTTATAAGTACTTCTAATTCTGAAAGAAGAATCTAGTTCATGGCTGTTTTATTTATAAAATTAAAATTATAAATTATCATATATGTGAATTTTTCTAAACCATAAATATACAACATAAAGAACCATTTAAATTGTATGACCATCTGCAAAAAGACAAAAACAATTACAATTTAACTACCATTCAATATCTTTTTTACTAATATGTTATAATCATTCCAAAGAATAATATCTTGGGTTATATTTTTAATAATTGCTATCAAGTCATACTTGCCAGTAACTGCCAAGCTGGAAGATTCATTCCTATGAGAAATTTATATCAGTATAACCCAGTATAATATTTAAGGTATTTATCCTTAGAGCACTTCATAAAAGCTTCTATAGTAATAAAACAAGACACTATCATTGACCATTTCCCAAAGGAAATATTGATTCTCTCAGATTATATCAAGGGTAATGGTAGACAAGAAACATAAAGCCCTTGCACTGATTATCTAATTTCTGCTTCAAACTGGTACTAATTTTAAAGCACTAGGACAATATTGAAATTAAATCACCAAAACGATAAAACAATGAAAGAAAACCAAAATAGTTCTAACCTTAGATTGGCTTTATTGAAAATAAATGAAAATTCTAACCATATAATAATCATTATAGTGTCTATTTACTGAGTGCCTATTACGGGTTGAACACGGTAGTTGAGTATTTATAACTTTTAATCCACAACAGGCTCTGAAGTAAGAATTATTACTCCCACTTCACATATAAGACCATTTGCTTAAAATCTCAGGAGAGAATCTAAAGAATGCTACTGATTCAGCCAGGGCTTCAAGCTATCTACCTGTAAGACACATCATCCCACCAGCACCCTCATGAAATTCTTAATATTTAAGAGATAAAATATATAAACAATAAAATCCAAAAGCTACATAATATCCATGTCACTTTCTATATAGTTTTGGGCTTTTGCTTTGTGTTGTTGGGGGTCTATTTCTTTGGGGTTTGTTTGTTTTTAGTCAGCTAGAGGCCCTTTAAATGAGATTAGAGCATCGCTTGCCAAACTGCCCTCTAAGTAGGTGGCAGGATCTGCTGATTTCTACCCCAGTTGCAGTGGAACTGAGGACAGCTTCACATGCGAGGTCAGCGCCTTCCTTTAGCATCTCCCAGACAGAGTGGACAATATATTTTGATGTGATGAGTGACAAGAATAAATGTGATGTTTTAGGAAAAGTATTCCAGCCGCAGAAGGTACTAAAGACTGAAGGTGAAAAGGACCGGATTCCAGAACTATGATTAGAACTGGATCTCAACAACTCACATGTCATTAACTGATGGATGTATAAACAATTCACGATGTGGTCTATTCACACGATGAAATATTATTTGGCAATAAAAGGCAAAAAATACTGATAGTTGTATAGCATAGATGAACCTTGAAAACATTATGCGAGGTGAAAGAAACTAAGCCAAAAGACAGATTGTACGATTCCTTATATGAAATGTCCAAAATGGGCAAGTCCACAGAGACAGAAAGTAGTTTTGCCAGGGGATAGTGGGAGGGAAGGAATGAGGAGTGACTATTAATGGGTGTGACTGGATCACGAGGCACCAAGATATGTGGCTAAACATTATTTGTGGGTTGTGTCTGTGAAAGTGTTTCCAGATGAAATTAGCATTTAAATTGATGGACTCAGTAGTTTGCCTTCCCCAATGTGGGTGGGCATCATCCAATCTGTTGAGGGCCTGAATAGAAGAGAAAGGCAGACAAAGTAAGAATTGGCCCCTTCCTGCCTGATTGCTCAAGCTGAGACATTAATCTTATCCTGCTCCTTGGTACTCCTGGTTCTCAAGCCTTCAAACGGGGTTTTCAGCTTTGCTTTTGTTTCTGTAGAGAAACCTAACTACTACAGTGGGTATGGGGTTTCTTTTGGGGGTGATGAAAATATACTGAAATTGACTGTGGTGATGATGGTATGACACTGGAGATACACCAAAAATCACTGAATTGTATGTTTTAAAAGGGTGAATTTTATGGCAGGTGAATTAAATCTCAGTAAAGCCATTATTTTTAAAAAGTGGTAAGTAGGGGTGTGCAATTCTGAAGTTAGGAAAACTAATTAAGAGAATGTTTGTTGCCTGTTAACACATAAAACTGAGTGCCTCCCATTATCAGAGATGTATTGGTAAACCAGCTCCCCCCACCAAAAAAAAAAAGCCCACACAACTGATTTGTAATATTTGACAATTCCTGTGGTATAAATACTCCTGCCATGGTTGACTTCAAGCTACCAAGTGAAGTCAGTAGTGAACATTGAGTTGGGAAGACGTGAGCATGCTCATCTCATGCAAACTTTAAGAGGTGACACCAGCTCACCCTGAATCCACTTCTCCCATTTCACATTGTGTAGTAACCATGCAGTTTGAGTAGATTAACCCCCCTCCCAGTCTAGGGGTAGAATCTAATTGGCCTAAGAAAATAAGGACAATCTCACTCCACTCTCAACGACAGTGATTGGTTCAATGTTAGGCATGTGACTTGAGTTTGTCCAAACAGCTTAAAGCCTGAGATTTTGTTCAAGAGTTTGGGGGAGGGCTTCCCTGGTGGCGCAGTGGTTGAGAGTCCGCCTGCCGATGCAGGGGATACGGGTTCGTGCCCCAGTGCGGGAGGGTCGCACATGCCGCGGAGCGGCTGGGCCTGTGAGCCACGGCCGCTGGGCCTGCGCGTCCGGAGCCTGTGCTCCGCAACGGGAGAGGCCGCAATCATGAGAGGCTCGCGTACCGCAAAAAAAAAAAAAAAAGAGTTTGGGGGAAAAACATTCTTTTTCCACTATTGCACATAAGTAAGGAAGCATCTAGCCCAGGTTGCTGTTGGCAGCCTGCCTACTATCAGTATAGCATGAAACCAACACCATAAAAGGCAGGCTTGAGAATCAGTAAAAGTACCAATGACATTGCCATATCAATCCTTTCCTGAAGCCAGACTTTTCAAATAAATATGAGCCAATAAATTACTTTTACTGTCTGATCTGGTTTGAGTTGGTTTTTGTACAACCTACTAAAAGCATCCTAATACATACTGAATAATCTGCAATATTGAAACACCGAGGTTCTGAGAGTTAGAGCAAGGAAATGGAGCAAAAACAAGGGAGCAGCTGGGCATATATAAAAAAGTAGGAGTCAAGGCAAGCAGTAAATTTGTGCCTAAGCATATACTCAGGAATTAGAAGGATGTAAACATGGAATAGGTGAATAAAGAAGGTTTTCAAAAATAAGAACAAACTATTAGGAACCAGGAGGGTATAATTGTTATAAGGAAGCAGAACAGAGTATGTTTTCCAAAGTTTAATACAAAAGGCACAAAACAGAATAGAAAAAAGCAGCTTCACCAAGAAGGTCCTACCTCAGAGGACCTTTATATTGACTGCAATTCATACCCAAGGCTAAATTGAGATGGTGGGAGTTTTGGACAAGTGAGTAATTTGGTGTACCTCTCAAACCAAGTATACAGGGAGGGCGTAATCATTCAAAATTATTAGTAGTTTTCCCTTTTTGGGGTGTGTAACCACCCATTTTCCCAAGGGGAGATCAAAATTTATTTTAGAAAAAAAATGGCAACCAAAATGCAAAGTAATATCACCTTCTAATGCAAAATAGGGTTCTTCCGAAAGACAACAGCCTTGCAATCCAGTTCAGTCTTGAGGATTTCAGAATATCAATGACCATACCTGGAAGACTCAGATCATAGATTTCTCCAAGCATGTAGAGAAAACATCCTTTGCCATGAAGGCTTAAACAAGAGTTGGAATGGAGAGTAGGAAGATAGGGAAGAAGTCTGGGGCATTGTAGGAAGACGAAAATAAGGGAAAAGTAAAGCAGGACAGCAGAAATAGTCGAAGCATTTCCCAATTTTCCCATCTGTTGGCTTAAATCAGACAGTCTCATTGACATAGACAGAGTCTCATTGATGTGGACAGAGGGAAGTGCACTGGATAAATGAAAATAATGGCACAAAGGTATAAGGGGTCTCCTGGCCCCCCATCTCTCATGAGAACTCAGAACAGACCACCACTCAGGCTGTTCTTTCATTTGCCTGGGGCACAGCCAAACCCAAACTGGCAGAACAGCATGGTCAGGCAGAGGGAGGCTCTGAGAATCATCAATTCTGAACGACGTTTGTATCCTGTGGCATAAACAAGACCCTGAAGTAGTTGTATGTTTGCAGAGGGAGTTCAACTGTTAGCTGCAGAGCTGAGCATTGGAGCTAGGTACTGAATGGGAGTCACAGAAGACTTCTGTGGGGTCCACAGTATCTATGGAAGTGGAAATGAGGCTGAGTCATCTCAAATATGCCATCTCAAACATGCCATGAGGGCTCCAACCAAGCCCAGAGAAAAAGAGTGAGAAATAGAAAAAGACTGACAGTTAACAACAGCCACAGACTATAGCCACTTATGCTGGCAAGGGAAAGAGCAACAAGCTGGACTTGAGATATCATCCCAGAGAACACCACACAGAAAATGCTGCTCTTCCCCTCTGGCATCAGGATGCTAAGTTGCATCCCTCTTTCCATATACCCGGATGCCATCTCAGAGAAAGATACAGTTGCTATTGCTGCATAACTGGCCAACCCATACATAGCAGTGTAAAACAGTAGTCATTTCCAGATTCTTTGGGTCAGGAATTTGGAAAGGTACAGCAAAGCCATCTTATTGCTTCACAATGTCTGAGGCCTCAGTTGGGAAGACCTGAAAGCTGAGAGTGACTTAAGTGCTGGGGTTGGAAACGTCTCTCATTCCAATTGGTAGTTGATGCTGGCTATCTGCTGGGACTT